CTCTTTAGCTCTACGTTGAAATGATGATCCCTCTTCCTGTTGTGATCTACTGATGCAATTTTCGTCTCTACTGTTCCATCTTTTTTTAAACTTATTCACCATTCTCTTGATGGTTCTTGAATGGACTTTGAAAGTGGAATCCAGAGTATGAATATTGGTACCATTACAGAAGGCCTGAATAATCTTTTTCCTCTCACCATTTCTAAGAGTTTGGGAAGATATAGTGGGTCTGACTCAAAATGATTTTAACCTGTTCTCTTTCTAGCTGAATAACTCAAAGAGTTTTTCAATGATTCTTACGACAAATGGTGTCAAGATGGCTAAACGCCTTATCTGAAAATCTAGAAAAAAGTATCTCAATTAGTTTAGTGATTTTTTTAGATATTTTTTGTCGGATGGACAATTATGCTGTGACACGATTTGGACAATTTTGTTGCTACACTCGGATATATATACCCAAGATTTTAATGTACAGCCAGTTAGATCAGGGCTACAGGAATGTAGGACGCCCATGGCTAGGATACAAAGACAAGCTGAAAAGCAACTTGTCAGCAGTCAATATTCCACATAACACTCTTGAGCGCTTTGCCTTGGAGCGGGTAGAATGGAGATAAACGTGTTTTAGTGGACCCAGCAATTTTCAATCTGCTTGTATGAATCATGTTCAAGAAGCGAGGGCAAGATCTAAAAGGTCAGCCAATCTAACAGTGATCTCATTTCACAATCCCCACACTTGCTCTATATGTGGCCTCCTTTTAAATCACTAGCGGGTCTTAAATACCACTTAAGATTATCGCACAAATATATATATATATATATATATATATATATATATATATATATATATATATATATATATATTAGCTGTTATATGTTAGCTCTATCTCTGATATTGAGCGCTTTCTAATAAGTACCGCGTATATAATATATAAATAATTATACATATATATTTATTTATATTTATATACACACTTTTCACACACACACACACACACACACACACACACACACACACACACACACACACACATACATATATATTATTATTATTATTATTATTATTGTGGAATAAAGCAATATTACGTTAAGTCTTTGTTTCCTGAATTCTGTTGGATGTTGGGTCATGATTGCACACAGATAAACTGTGCAAACAATCACGAATCTCTGACTGCCATTATTTATTTTGTCAGTTCATTGCAAAATACTCTTAAGTATTAATTCTGTCAGTTCGTTCTGCCATCTTAATTATTCATTCTGCCATTTCGTCTGCATATTTCCGCAAACATACTTCCGTTCTACCGTGTCCATAAAGACACTCTATACAGATGTACCGCATTGATTAGATTCCATGTTTTTTTGTATTAGTCGATTTCATTTACTGTAATAATGCAAATGGTTAGTCTATAATATATTTGTACAAAAATATCTGACTGGTTTAGTGACAATGCAAAATGGACACACTGTGTGCAGACCAGACCCGTCAACTTAGAGTTGGATGTAAACTTCAGCCTTGTGGTTTTAGTTAAGTGTTTTTATTTTTATGTGACTAGGTATGAAATTATGCTAAACTGTTGGAAATTTAACTAATAAAATAATTTAATAAATATTTTCTGATAGGTACAATATGAGATAATTTGTTATGATAGAAAAATATCACCGTAGAATCGTTGACTTGCATTTGCTGGTTCGGTAAGCTATTAAATCCTCAAATACTTTTTTGGTTAATTTGCAGTGTAAGTACCCGCGCTCAGTTCGCATTAAAAAAATTCCAGAATACTTACATTTATAAGTAATTGTATATGCTTCATTCGAATCTGACGTTTTGGAGTTATCGACTGTGAAAGTTCGGATTCATTCGCGCCGTTGGCGGCAGCCATTACTCCCGTTCTTTGTATACATTCGCTGCGGAAAGTTAAACGCGGAAGACTACGAAAATATAAGTGCGGAACTGATCTTTCTTGTCTAAATTTGTCTCAGTTACTGCGCACGAGAACTATTTACATAGGCATGCTCATTTTGTGCAATGATACCTAAACCGATAGCTATTCTGCAGCGAATGTATGCAAACAACGCTTGTAATGGCTGCCCGCGAAGCGATTGAACCCGAATTTCTCTGTCGATAAATCCAAAACGGTGGGTTTTATCAAATTTATCAAGCTAAATTCGAATGGAGAATGTACAATTACACATAAATGTAAGTCATCTGGAAAGTGTTAATGCGAAACGTGCGCGGATGTTACACTGTAAATTGTCCTTTTTTTTTCTAAAAAATCCATAGATAATATAGTATGCAACTTACTTATTTTAACGTCTTAGTATATGGGAAATATGATAGTGTTAAAATATCTTCACAAACGTCCAGAAATATTAATGTTTTTCAGTTAAATGCGACGTCTTTTGAAACCGTTTTCCTTATCTAATTTGTCACATCATCGCAAAATAATCTTAAATATTCATTCTGATGGTTCGTTTTGCCATCTTAACAAAATACCCTTAAATATTAATTCCTTCATTATTTTGGATATCTTCGCAAACACCGTTTATTTATTTGCTCACTTCAATATGACATCATCGCAAAACACTCTTAAATATTCATTTTGTCAGTTCACTGGAACATCATTGCAAAACAACCGTAAATAAAAAAAAAATTATCAGTTCCCGGAACATTTTCGGAAATCCCATTAAATATCTATTTGGTCATTTCAATAGGCTGTCTTCAAGAAACATTTTTAAATATTCCTTTTGCCAGTACTGGGCGCGATGGATAAATTGTCTAAATTACGCAAATATGAAAATAACACTGACATCTCATTTTAACAGATATATTTACCAAAATTACACAAAAACATCTTGAAATACTAAAGAATACATTTATTCAACAAACTCACCAATGGCTTCAACCATGGCCTCCAGACGACTTTGATATCTCCTGCCACTCTTGTAGACGGTCTCCTTGTTTAACTCGTTGAATGGAGTCATAATCCTTGCCTTCAGTTCATCTTTGGTGTTACAAGGAGTTTTGTTGATCTTTCACTTAGCTGCGCTCCACACAAAAAAAAATAAAGGGGTTTGTAGTCTGGGCAGTTAGGCGGCCACATTTAAGGTGTGATATGATCGCAGAACGTGTCTCAATGCCATGAATTGGTTCTTCTGCTTGTTTGTCATGGTGCTTTGTCCTGTTACCAGACATAGATTCACCCAACATATACGTATTTTCATAATAAGGGGGGCATGATTTAAATTGAAATTCTGGTTGAACTTATTTCTATATATCATTAACACATTTGATAAATTGTTATGCATGATAGACTTTTTCTGTTCATTAGTACGTTTTCGTAAAAAAAAAACTGCCTTTTATTTCCCTAATATATTCTAAGGAACCTTTGGGTGCGATGGATAAATTATCATCTAAATTAATTAAAAATGAAAATAAGACTAACATCTCACTTTAACAGATATATTTACCAAAATGATACAAAGAGATTTTGAAATACTAATGAGGCCTCCAAGCAACTTCGGAATTTCCTGCAACTCTTATGGAGGGTCTCCTTACTTACGCTGGTGAATGCTCCCATCATCCTTGTCTTCAGTTGATCTTCAAAGAGTTTTGATAGTCTTTCGGTCAACTGCCCCCCACACATAATAATCAAGGGGGTTGCAGTCTGGGGAGTTAGGTGACCAGATGTAAAAGCTCATGTGGCCGCTGAAATTATCTGACAGCCATGATTGGCTTCTGGTTGTGTGACATGGTGCTGAATCCTGTTGACCCAGGGCTCACTATCTCTGTTGAGTATGAGTCCCCGTGCGAAGATCAATGGAGGCATAACGTCACACATCATCATCTTGCGGCCTCAGCTGAGATTGAACTCACTAATACTTTGATTGGTGTAGTTCATAATCTTGTCAAATAGTTGAATTCTTGATGCTTCGCTAGGGCTATCAAGGGTGTTTTTATCGTGACACCATCACTAAATGGATTGCAAACCAAGGCTTAGAGAGACTCCATTCACCCTCATCTAAGAGCAGGTTTGAATTCAGAGTTTTCCTTCTCCTAGACCAACTGCCATCCAAGGCTATAGAACCCAGTCTGTCCTACTATTTATCTATAGCTGGAGGGAGAAGAAGAAGAGGATTCATACCTTTCCCAAGGGTATTAGCACGTAAGTGAATGTAATGGATTCGACTGGAATTCGAACTCGGCTCTCCGATTCCTCAATCTGAGCTGCCCGGTCTGTCCTGCTATTCATCCATTGCTGGGTGGGAGAAGAAGAAGAGGATTCATACCTTTCCCTTTCCTTAAGTGAATGTAATGGATTCGACTGGAATTGAAAGGGTATTAGCATGTAAGTGAATGTAATGGATTCGACTGGAATTCGAACTCGGCTCTCCGATTCCTCAATCCAAGCCGCTATCCATTAGACTCATTCAACACTTTCTGAATCATCTTCACTGTCTCCAGATTGACACCTAATCACTTTGAATTCTTTGTATTTGAGCTTCCGGTGTCAATGCCAAGCACTACAGCATGACGTTTCCTAATTTCTAATTGTGTCATGGTGCTTTTCTCCCAGACAGCGCCCAACTGACCTTACTATACTGTGCAGTCAACAAATTCAAAAACAAAATGTGTGAAATTAAAATATAAAATGGTCACATAACACGCTGTATAATTAGACATCTTTATGAAACAAGTTTAAATATTACGGTTACGACGAGCATCTTTGTAAAATACCTAAAGAATTCATTTTGTGAGTCCAATATGGCATCTTCGCAAAACATTTTTATTCATTTTATCCATTCATTGGGATATATATATATATATGTATATCTTCATTTTGTCAGTACTCATCTTTGTACACTTGAGACATCTTAAATCAAGTTAAGAAGCGGTGACTTCAGTTTCATTACAATTTGATCCAGAAATAAAATGCATTTAGCGCGGGATTTTCGTCTTCCTAACTTTTTGATGTGGGAACGGGGATTTTAATTCGCTTCCGAAAATGCTATATGACATTTTGGACAATCTATTAAGTATGTAAGAAATGATGAAAAACAATGAATGAGTCCTTGCCGAAAGACATTGCCTAAAAGAAAGGAAGTAATTTCAAGCTAAGAAAGAGATATGAAAAGGAAGATAAACGAGGGATCCAAAATTACAATTCAAATCGGGAGGAAATTATTTTGAGCGCCATTTTGATCGCCATTTCTTTTTCGTTACTTAATTTCTTTCTCTCTATTTTTTATTTCCTTTTTTATGGTCTCTTTCTTTTTCATAGTTCTTTTTTTTTCATTTTTTTATTATTTCCACTATTCATTCTGAATACATTTCTTTCTATCACTTTCATTTTTACTTTTTTCTTTCCTTTCAATCAGAAATCTTGGTCCTTTCTTTCTTCTTTTTCATTCGCTTTATTTTGTTATATTTTCATGTCTTCTCCCCTCGTTTCATCTTTAGTCAAACGTTTTTTTTTTTTTCGTTTTCTGTCCTTCTTCCTTCCTTTCATTTTGTCTTTCTTCGTTCCATCCTTTTATTCTTCCTTTCTTTTTTCTTTCTTTCTTTCTTTCTTTCTTTCTTTCTTTTTCTTCCTTTCTTTTTTCCTTTCTTTCTTTTTTCTTCCTTTCTGTTTTCTTTCTTTCTTTTTCTTTCTTTCTTTCTTTTTCCTTTCTATCTTTTTTTCTTTTTTCTTTCTTTCCTTTTTCTTTTACTTCCTTTCTTTCTTTTTTCTTTCTTTCTTTCTTTTTCCTTTCTTTTTTCTCTCTTTCTTTCTTTTTCTTCCTTTTTTCTTTTCTTTTTTCTTTCTTTCTTTTTCCTTTCTTTCTTTTTTCTTCTTTAGTTTTTCGTTTCTTTCTTTTTTCTTCCTTTCTTTTTTCCTTTTTTTTCTTCCTTACTTTTTCCTTTCTTTCTTTTTTCTTCCCTTCTTTTTCTTCCTTTCTTTCTTTTTTCTACTTTTCTGTCTTTCTTTTTTCCAGTTTTCTTTTTTTTTCTTCCTTTCTCTCTTTTTTCTACCTTCTTTTCTTTCTTTTTTTCTTTCTTTTCTTTTTTTTATTCCTTTCTTTCTTTCTTTCTTTTTTATTCCTATCTTTAAGTGTCTTCATGTGCTTTTCGTCATACATATTCAGTTCAGTCCATGATCCTTAGCATCCTTCTGATAGAGCGTGTGAGCAATGACAAGATCTTAAAGAGATTGCACACAAAGAGGAGGCTTATACTTAATATCAGGAAGAGGCAGCTGAACTTTCTGGGACACATAATGAGGAGAATCTGATACTCACGGGTCGAATAGAGGGAAAAAGAGTCAAGGGAAAACAATGCATGACATAACTGGCGGGCTTAAGTAAGTGGATGACAGAACGTGACCTGGGGCAGGAAGCAGAGAGAAGGAACCTGTTGAGAGCTGGAAGGGATAGAGGGAGGTGGAGAGCCATGATCGCCTACGTCCTGAAAGGACATGACACATTAAAACAAGAAAGAAAAGATATTCAATTCTTTTATATCTGTGTGCATCAATTCCTTTTTACATAAGTCTTATTTTTACTTACCTTTGTTACTATCTTGAAAAGAGAGGCAAAGACCTGTCCATTCCACTTTGTTTACCAACATACATTTTGAATTCTTTCATATTTGTGTCCATCAATTATTTCTGTCTTTCCCAAACAAATGCAGAAAGACATGAACCTATGTTTCATAGACTACGCAAAGTCCTTCGACAAAGTACGCCATAAGGATCTGTTTGAATTGCTCAGCAACCTTGTTATATTCAGGAAAGATATTAGGATAATCAAGAACCAACACTGGCTGCAAACAGCATGCATGTGCATAGAGAACGAGTTCAGCGAATATACTAAAAATAGAAAGTGACATAAGGCAAGGTTGTGTCTTCTCACCGGACTATTTCAACACATACATCGAGACAATTCTGAGAGAATTGGAAATCTTACCAACATAAGACACGCAAATGACAGAGCACTGATAGCAGACACGGAAAAGAAATTACAAAAACTCCTACAGAAATTTGCGAAGGAGAGCGAGAAGAAAGGACTAAGCGTAAACTACAAGAAGACAAGAATACATGGTCACCAGTAAAAGGATGTGCCCGAAATATGATTTGCAGGTCGGGGATACTAGAATCAAGTAGACGTGGAAGTTTAAATATCCGGGAAGCGTTTAGGACGGTAAGTGCGTCACTGAGATCCGTAGTGGAGGATTCCTTTGGTAACAAAGAAAAGAGTACTGAGTTGTTACATGACATTTGTCCTCCTTTACGTCAGCGAATGTTGGACGGTTTCCTCAAAGATGAAGAAGAGACTCGAGGCGACGGATATGTTGTTCTACAGAAGGATGCTGGGGATATCATGTAACAAGCGCATGAGCTACTATGAGGTCTTGTAGAGGAAGCAATCAAGGAGGAAGCTTATACTTAACACCATGAAGAGGCAGCTGAAATTTCTGGGACATGTAATGAGAAAGGAGGGCCTGGAGAATATGATACTCACAGGTCAAATAGAAGGAAAGTGAGACAAGAGAAAGCAATGCATTACATAGCTAGTAGGCTTAAGCAAGTGGATGAGAGAACGTGGTCTGTAGAAGGTGGCAGAGGGACGGAACTTATTGAGAGCTATATGGGATAGGAGGGAGTGGAGAGTCATGATCACCTACGTCCTGAAAGAACAAAGGCACATAAAAAGAAAGAATGAGTCTATCGTATATCTTTATATCTCTCTTTTTTTATTATTACAACATTTCAGTTATTTTATGAGTTTATCATACATATTTCTTTCTTTTTTTCATTCTTTCTTTCCTTTTTTGTTTATTTTTAGGCTTTTTTCTTTCTTTCTTTCTTTCTTTCCTTCTTTCTTTCTTTCTTTCTTATTCTTTACTTTTCTTTCTTTCTGCCTTTCTTTCTTTTTTCTTTCGCTTTCCTTTCTTTCTTCTGTCTTTCTTTTTTATTTCTTTTTTCTTCCTTTCTTGCTTTCTTTCTTTTTCGTTTTTCTTTCTTTTTTCTTTCGCTTTTCTTTATTTCTTCTGTCTTTCTTTTTATCTCTTTTTTCTTCCCTTCTTGCTTTTTTCTTTTTCGTTTTTCTTTTTTCTTTCACTTTTCTTTATTTCTTCCTTTCTTTCTTTTTCCTTTCTTTCTTTCTTTCTTTCTTTTCTTCCTTCTTTCTTAGCCTCTCTCGCTTTTCTTTCTTTTTTTTCTTTCTTACTTTTTCTTTCCCTATTTATTTTTCTTTCTTTTCTTTTTCTTTCTTTCTTTCTTTCTTTCTTTCTTTCTTTCTTAATCTTTAGTTTTCCTTCTTTCTTTTTTCTTTCGCTTTTCTTTCTTTCTTCTGTATTTCTTTTTATTTCTTTTTTTCCCTTCTTGCTTTCTTTCTTTTTCGTTTTTCTTTCTTTTTTCTTTCACTTTTCTTTATTTATTCCTTTCTTTCTTTTTACTTTCTTTTTCCTTTCTTTCTTTCTTCTCCACTTTCGATTTTCTTTTCTTCTTTCTTTCTTTTTTCTTTCTTTCCTTATTTTTCTTTCTTTTTTCTTTCTTTCTTTCTTTTGACTGCTCATATGTTTTACGCGTCTTTTTTTCTTCTCTTTCTGCTTCATTAATTTTCTTTATTCCAGGTTTTTCTTTTTTCTGTCTATCCCCTTTTTTTATTTTTCTTTCTTCCTTTAAATGTTTCTTTCCTTTCCTTTCCCCATACACTTTCTCGCTGTTCAAATTCGATTACCATTTCATTAGAACCCTTATGTCCGTGTGCACCGGATGACCCTTGAAATGCACCAGACACGGAAATACGAAATGGAATTTATTTTATTTCGGTTTATGCCTTCAACGGTTTCGACGCAATGACGTTTTATATTTGAAGAAATCACTTTTCTTGTGATTCGCCTTCTTTTTTTTCTCAAATCAAAACTCGTCATTGATCGATCTTCCTTCTGTGATCAGTTCAAGGCCACTTGAAACAGAATAGGCATAAAGAAATGCCTTATAGATCTCTGGAGTCACCGGAAGTTCATCATATTGAATAAGAAAAAAAATTCCTTAGTTATTAATTCCGAAGTAACGTGAAAAGGATATTGGTTCAAGATTCCACGTAATAATTTCCAATTTCGTTCAGCTATTCTGTAAAAGGACACTCTCAAAGAATCTACAAATAGGTACGGGGTATAAATTAGTATCGCAACTAAGTTGAAATAGTACGCAGAACGTGATGGCTAACAAGCCCGTCGTATTAAACCAGAACGCTCAAAAAATGGTGTTTAAATTTCAAAAAATCTTAACGATGTATAAACATAGATTTATTTTGTAAAAGCAGTGGTACGTTTAAGAATTAAAAAAAAAAAAAAGTGGCCATCTTTTTAGACTATTTACATTGTTCGGACTGTTGTCCTCGCTTTCATTGTCATATTCAGATTTCGGCCGTTGTAAGGTACGGCCTTCTTCTGGTGAAGAGATGCGTTGGAATTTCTAACCTTTTATTTCGTCCACCGGAGTAGATTGTTCTAATTTCGCGTTACATACTTTTTTCTGGATACTTCAGTTTCAATAGTCCTGGGAAAGACAATAAACAACGTCCGCGTCCTGGGTAAGACGATAAACTACGTTCGCGTCCTGGGTAAGACGATAAACAATGTCCGCGTCCTGGGTAAGATTGTAGACTACGTTCGCGTCCTGGGTAAGACGATAGACTACGTTCGCGTCCTGGGTAAGACAATAAACTACGTTCGCGTCCTGGGTAAAACGATGGGTAAAAATAAACAATGTTCGCGTCCTGGGTAAGACAATAAACAATGTCCCCGTCCAGGGTAAGACGGTAGACTACGTTCGCGTCCTGGGTAAGACGGTAAACTACGTCCGCGTCCTGGGTAAGACGGTAGACTACGTTCGCGTCCTGGGTAAGACGATAAACTACATCCGAGAACAAGACCTCTGATCAGGAGGTTTTAAGGAGCGTGGAACCACATCTTAATTGCTGATGTACCCTGGTCTACCCTGATACAGGGTGGTAGACCTGTTAGGATCCCAGCAATGGGCAAATAGTTAACCCCGCACTAAGAAAGTGTAAAAAAAAAATAGGTTTTAATACCAGCAATGCATGTTTGGAAAAAATTGTCATCAACTATATATTTTGGAAAAAAAATAGCATCAATATATTTTTGAAGGAAAAAAATATTAACATCAAGAAATTTTTGAAAAAAAATATGACCAGCAGTAAAAAATTTTGTCGTTATTAAATGCTTATTATATACTGTACCTATGAACACTAATGGTTATGTACCAATTCTTATAAATATTTTGGTCACTATTATAGTGTGGGGGGTAATTTTCTGTCTAAGTAGTCCACCACTAGCAGTGGCTTACCTACTTCACGCTGCTGGCGAGTATTGTATTTTGTTGATGTTATAAAGATTAGCATTTCATTTCCAATTTCCGATTTTTATTTATTCTTCATTCAGTAATCCTCTCTAGGTTACAACAATAACCCACTGAGGCTGATATGCCGTAAAACAAGCCAAACCAAATCAAATCAATATCAGTTATTCCCCTTTAGTAACTGAACTCTCCACAGCAGAGGTGAACAAAAATTAATTTCGATAGTTGAATTTTTCACATATGCTGGGGCGTATGTGTGAGCAGGGATTTGTAAGCAAAACTGTAATGAAAATAAAACTTGTATCTGAAACCAGAAGGAGTTAGTTCAGATTTCCGATACACATAATGTGGAAGGTTTGGAGAATTTAACAGCCACGGGATATATATATATATATATATATATATATATATATATATATATATATATATATATATCGAATGATAGAGGGAAAGATTCAAAGGCAAAGGGAATTATTTAACGATGACAGAACATGACTTGGGAGATATAGAGAAAGAGACAAAATTTTTTACGAAAGATAGGAAGTTCTGAACAAAATTGGAATACCGAAAGACGCCCTGCAACATCCAAACAAATTATTAAATTGCAAACTTTCGTTTGAAACAAGGAAAAGAGTGATCAACTTTTATGTAATGTCAATCGATCTGTCTTGGAGTGAACGCTGGGCAATCTCATCACAGATGATTTGGTTTGGTTTATTTTGTTTTACGGCATATCAACCTCAATGGGTTATTTAATGACGACAACATTTTTAGGATAGATTCGTATGAATAGAATATGTATTCTTTGGTTTAGATTGGTTTGGTTTATTTTGTTTTACGGCATATCAACCTCAGTGGGTTATTTAATGCCGACAACATTTTTAGGATAGATTCGTATGAATAGAATATGTATTCTTTGGTTTAGATTGGTTTGGTTTATTTTGTTTTACGGCATATCAACCTCAATGGGTTATTTAATGCCGACAACATTTTTAGGATAGATTCGTATGAATAGAATATGTATTCTTTGATTTAGATTGGTTTGGTTTATTTTGTTTTACGGCATATCAACCTCAATGGGTTATTTAATGCCGACAACATTTTTAGGATAGATTCGTATGAATAGAATATGTATTCTTTGGTTTAGATTGGTTTAGTTAATTTTGTTTTACGGCATATCAACCTCAATGGGTTATTTAATGCCGAAAACATTTTTAGGATGATTCGTATGAATAGAATATGTATTCTTTGGTTTAGATCGGTTTGGTTTATTTTGTTTTACGGCATATCAACCTCAATGGGTTATTTAATGCCGACAACATTTTTAGGATAGATTCGTATGAATAGAATATGTATTCTTTGGTTTCGATTGGTTTGGTTTATTTTGTTTTACGGCATATCAACCTCAGTGGGTTATTTAATGCTGACAACATTTTTTATTGTTGGCAATATTTTGTTTTGTCAAACTTCTGTTTCTGGTAATATTTTCCCTTCAAAATTGGTTTGATTGTACTGCTGGTAATAATTTTTTTTCAAAAAAGGATTGCTGGTAATAGTTAACTATTTTGAAGTCAATGAAAGCAGCGGTTTGATGGAAATGGCTTCGGAAAACGGAAAGTACACTAGCTAATAAGTCGATGGACTGGCAAGTTAAAGGAGATAAACGCTACTTAGAGTAACAAACGATAGGGAGGACTATGAACGCCCACGTCCTGAAGGAACTTAGCACATCAAAGACATTGCCACTGACAATGTTGTGTTGTTATCGATTCCCGGTGTGCACGCGGTACCGTCGATAGTTGAATAATTCGTGGTCAGAACGCTAAGCTATTTCTCTATCCAACAGCGAAAACAAGCGTATTAATAAGAAAAAGCAAAAGGAGCAGACAAACGCGTATTTGAAGCCGCCATTTTTAATATGATTTTGCGCCTTTATATTTGACGCCATCAATTAGGATTTAATATATTCTGGAACATCCGATTAGTATTTTTGGTTTAGCTTTGATCAATATTACTGACGTTCCTTTCTCGTAATAAAGACGTAATACTGTCAAGTCAGCATTTAATATTTGGTATGAGGAAACGTTATTCATGTGTTAGCTAGCACAAAAATGCGTTAAGCAATAATTATCCACCATT